TCTAACAAGCACACTCATTTTTACTGAAAATACTCAAATGTTTATTCGGTGATGTCATTAGTTACTTTCGGGCCTTTACAAAATTGCAATTGTTAGCAACTTCAATTACAAAAATTCATTAGTAATAGCTAACATTCACAATAAAAAATCTCAACACAAGAAGAAGAAGCAATCCACACCTCGGCTGGAGTTATCTGCTGCGTTACCGTTAGTTCTAATTGCATGTGCCAAAACCACCAATGCACAATGTCTCAGTTCTTTTTGATAGATTCACGGAAACATACCAGTGTATGCTTTCCATATATCAACATTAAAATATTCATATGACTTAAACAAAATGACATTCATGATTAGTTCCAGCCAATTTTCCCAAACAAAATGCATATCTCTCACTAGTTGTTTTTAATTTTTATTGCGTTTGCATACAAATACGACAGGCATATGCCATAAACCTCTCCAAAGTAAAAACTGAGCCCAGCTGTCTCCACAATGAGCCACCAACACACAAGCCTGAACAACATCTCGCGTACGCGTCCAACGATGATTGACTTGTCTATCGCCTGCCGTAGCTCCATGTGTTTACTGCCACGAAAGGCGTTACTAACTTACAATGCTAATCCACAATGTGGTACTTGTACAGCAATTCTTGGGTGACTAACAGCGGGCTCCAGTTTTAATCCACTTAATGTATTCCTGCAAGCATGAATCGATCAAAACCGTGCATATTTTGATTTAGGAATTCAAAGCGAGGCACTGAATATGCAATTAAGTGCTGTAGGAGCTACGGCAGGTGCAACAAATATTGATTTATGTGATTCTGCCCCGAAACTAGAGCCATGACTAATGCTCCCGATCGTTACCGACCGAAGATCACGATATACTTGTCAAAATCAATTGTTTTCTAGCTTCGAAAGATCTGAAGTTCATCGATCGGTTGGTTGTACAAGGAAGGTCTTTTGTTCAACACCACACTGGAGCGGTTTTACAACCATAGAATCGGAAAATTCTAACGCCAATCCCCCAGCATGGGGGCCTTTTCAATATGCATCCACTGGATGCATGCGCCAGAACTGAACTGAAGTGCATGGAATCGTAATTTATGATAATTTCTTCTACCAGAATGAAGAACGTTGCAAAAAAACAAAATTAGTCATCGATTCAGAAGCTGTAAGTTTATAACAACAAATCAGAAACACACGATTCTACGTACATAGACATATTCAAATGAGCAATCGTGAACGAAAGGAAAATTTGGAACAGTGCCAGGAGCTACTAGGTACATGGAAGCCGAGTGCAAGATCGCGAGTTCAAGAAGGCTGATTTTTCACCATCCGACCTACCGAGAGAGCGAGATAAGATCGTTAGTTTGTACCTGTAAGCGAAAAACAAACAATATCTTGTAAACGAGCGTGGGCGCGAGGGGGTGAGCAGATACAAATCTCCACCCGCATCGCAGCTAAGCATCGTTCGCCAGTCAGTAAGTCAGTCAGTCAGCCATTCGGTAGTAATGAACTTTTGATAGCCTTGATCGATTCGATTTGGATCACGAAAACAAATCTCTGTGCTCCTTTCGAAGCCGGTTGGCAACACCAACAGCAGCAGCAGCAGCAGCAGCAGCAGCAGCACAGTGACCCATTTGCTCTCGTCCGACACGTCCGATTTTAGTGCTATTTAGCACGTCATTTATGGGACTAAAAAAGCTCATTAAACTTTGGCTGCACAGCACTCGGCACAAATTGGCTCGTTCGGTTGCGCCTGTGGAAGTTCAGTAAGGTTGCGAAACTCACATGGCCAATGAGAATAAATCAGAGGGAGAGTCAGTTCTACTCAGAGGTTTGGAGAAATTTCTAAAATCCACAGGAACGGGGGTTTCAGTTTGATTTTTTTTTTCTGTTTATTGTTTATTGTTTATCAGTCAACAGGTAAAATGTTTACCCCAATGACACCTGTTCTACAACTAAATACAAAACTAACGAATAACATAAATTAACATAAAACTTGTTTAAAACTACGCTTGTTTGTTTCTCGTGACACGTTGAAATCGTACACATAATAACACCGGTTGAATACACGGGACATGCTTCGCAAAGGTTCGTGAAAGCCATAATTAGTTCTTGCCGGAGGGATGGTGATAAACGAGTGCGACCGAAGATTGCGACGACGTGTGTTGATGTCCAAGAAACTAAGAAGCGTAGGACTGTCAATGTTGCCTTGGAGAAGATCCCAAACAAAGCACGCTTTTGCCACGTTGCGTCTTGCTTCTAGTAATTCCAGATTTATAAGTAGACAACGGCTTTCATAACTGGGCAGGTTGAATGGATCTCTCCACCTAAGATGACGTAGAGCGAACCGGACGAATTTTCGCTGAACAGCTTCGATGCGTTGAGTTTCATTCTGGTAATAAGGAGACCAGACGATAGACGAATACTCCAAGATAGGGCGCATAATTGAGCAATATAAAGCTTTTAGGCAGTAAACGTCCTTGAACTTTTTTGCAAAGCGAAATAAAAATCCTAGTTGCGATGAGGCTTTAGACACAACGTACGCGACGTGATCCTTGAAGGTTAATTTTGTATCAACCAGAATCCCCAGGTCCTTGACTGTCGAATCACGTTGTAGATTCACGCCTCCCAAAGCATAGCTAAAATGGAAGAGTGGTTGCTTGCGGCCAAATGAAATAACCGAACATTTGGACACGTTCAGCGACATTCGATTAATATGACACCATTCAGCGAAGGCTTCCAATTGTTGTTGCAGAAAAAACGCGTCTTGTGGTTGCTTAATCGTGTAGTAAAGCTTCAGGTCATCGGCATACAAGAGTTTTAGGCATTTCAAGATGAAATTGACATCGTTCATATACAGCAAGAATAGAAACGGCCCCAAGTGACTTCCTTGGGGAACACCGGACCAAACCGGAAAGGAGGGCGAAACGTGGTCTCCAATTTTGACGGACATACTTCGACCGGTTAGGTAGGATCGAAGCCAGGAAAGCAAGTTACTGTTCATTCCCAGCTTGTCGAATTTAGCAACTGCGATTTGATGATTCATTTTATCAAACGCCGTGGATAAGTCTGTGTAAATAGCGTCTACTTGTTGACCATTTTCTATTTGGCGGATCACGAACGAAGTGAAACAAGTCAAATTAGTTGTCGTCGAACGGTTAGGCATAAATCCGTGCTGATCAATCGAAATGTAGTGTGCGTAGTTCTGAACCAGCTTATGCAGAACGATCACCTCAAACAGCTTAGAAGTGGCGCTCAACGCAGCTATGCCCCGATAGTTCGAAACAATCCGCTTGCAGCCTTTCTTGAAAACTGGGAAAACATACGACTGCTTCCAGCAGTTTGGGAATACACCAGTAGCCAAAGATAGGTTGAATACTCTTGCTAGTGGTGTTGCAAGTGTATCCGCGCAGCATTTGAGGACAAGCGATGGAATCCCATCCGGACCATATCCCGTGGAGGATTTTAAATCCTTTCCGGCGATGTCAGTGGTGGAATCAGCTTCGAACAATCCGTTGGTCATCGTAGAGGGCAGTCCGGATTCCATCCGTTGGTCATGGACGTAACGCCAAAAACTTCTGGGATTTGTCTTGAAGCGCCTTTGCAAATGGTCCTGATATGCGTTGTACAAACGATTATTAAGTTTGGTTGTATTCAGTGCTCGCCGCCATATATCTCATTCTCGTGGAGTCCGTGTGATACTTGCTATGTCGTCTGAGAGCTGCCCGCTTCACAGTCCTAAGATGCTTGAGGTCAGCATTTGACCAGGCTGGCTTAGCCGGTTCGTGTCTAGACTTCACGGGAACGAACTGATCGATGGCATACCACAGGATATCAGACATGGTCGACGCAGCGAGGTTGGCATCACAATTTTGAAGCACCTCGTCCCAATCGACATGTGCGAGGAACTCGTTCATGCTGTTGAAGTCAGCCTTTCTGAAATCATAGGCGATGCTTTCAGAGGTATCTTGGAAGCGTTGCTGTGGACTTATCTTGAATTCCATCAGTACAGGAGGATGATGCCTGCAGATTTTAACGAACGGTGATGGAGCTTGCATAACTGTGCTGTGCTCGCAAAGTTCCTCACTGACGAAGCATAGATCAAGCGTACGATTGTTTTCATTTGCAATTCCACTCATTTGTCTGAGTCCAGCGGTGCTATACGCATCAAGCAGCTTCCGTGATGCCAAGCTAATCGAGGCTCGTGATGTAATCGGGTACAGGGAACCATGTGGACTACGCTGCCAAGAGATCGAGCTCAAGTTGAAATCGCCTAGGATGATAACGTTGTCTCTTGGTCCTAACTGCCAAACCACCCAGTTTTTCATACGACAAACCACATAGGTAGTGCACATTTCATTTAATACATGATCTTCCTTAACTTTTTTTCAAGGCGTCTGCTTATTAGTTGATTTATACATTTGATGAATAATCAGCAATAGAAATTTACCGGAAAAATCATGTAAATTTTGGTGCTCTGAGACTGACACATGCAAGCGGCCTTTATGACATAAGAATAAGTTGAAGAAATGAGAAAATCAATTCAATCAAACGTACTTTTCGTCGAGTTGCGTATGTTTCGGTTTCAGTGCATTTAATTTTGTAAGACAAGTTTGTTTACGTTCCATGATTTATGTAAAGTGTAAAATACGTCACTTGTCAAAATAGTAATTTTTAAGTATGTATAAGAGGCATTCTATCCGTGTATATGATGTCTTTGGATCTTTTTTTTTTTTTCCTTTGGTTTGTTTTTTCCGTCGATCTTGTTTTCCGTGCTGAGCACCAATGCTACCGACGTGCCAGGAAGGCAGCTCCCACACCTGGACCCTACCTATCGACCCATCAACTCATGAACCGGGGACCAACGGCTTTACTTCCCATCCGAAGGAAGGCGTGATCAGAGATGTTATGCCTCAGAACATCCCGGCGGCGCCGACTGGGATTGAGAACCCAGGCCTGCTGGGGTGAGAGGTAATCACGCTTACCACTACACCACCGGCGCCGTTATCTTTCTTCTTTGGATCTTCCTGCATATTTGTAATTATAGTTAAATCGACTTTTCATGGCGTATCATTTAAAAGTCACGTTAAATTTGTTTTCATAGCTTACTGATTCAGTAACATCCTCTGTTTAGTCTCCTAACATTTTATTTGTGACAATTTTTGAAGTAACCAATTTGAAAACATAGGATAAATTTGCATTTTTGAAAACAACTGTTAACAATCGTTTACCAGCAGGATGATTTTCGCAAAAGATGCTACTAGTTAAAAAAAATACTGTGAATTATTTTGTATGCTAAAAATCGGAAAATGATGAATTTCACAAAATTAGAACCTTTATCGAAAAAAAAAAATTGGTTTTAGATGTAATGTCGGCCTAAGTGCTCCTAATTTGGGCCCATACATAAATTCAGCAATCGACTAAATTTTCAACAGCGATCAAATGACGCGTTCATCTAGATCAAATTGATAAAAAGCAGATTTTTAGCGATGGGCCTAATCTTAGGTCCATAGGCCAACATTAGAACCATTTCCCCTATGTAACTTTTTAATATTATCTATTGTATTGGTTTTAAAGCGGTAAATTATCCTTATATCCATCCAATGTTGCTACGCTTAGGGACACTGCATGGCATCAAGTTTCTTCACTTGGGCAGCAACCGCAGCTTTGTCGTAATTGCGAACCGTTGGAATGTTGTAGTTATAATCCATGGATCGGACTTCCCTGTAGTCCACGGCTTCCTTGTAGTCTTCGACAACCTCGGAGTCCATCAAACATTTATAGTAATGACGAGCCAGTGGCAACGGATCCTTTGGCTCCGAAGATTTACACTTTGTCAACACTTTGTCCAATCGTCCTGTATCTTTCCCGGCGAACAGGAAGTCCCGTTTGAGTTCCGATGGCTTGAACAAAAAATGGTGAAAATATTAATGTTGGTCATTTCGGTGTCAAAATTATAAATACATCAAACTTATCATCCTTGGTGATGTAACGCAATCCTTTGTAGACGCATTGAACGCGCTTCTGGTAGTTTTCGTTGTCCAACACCTTGAACTGACGCATTTCACAAATCTCTTTCCGGTTGGGGGAACCAGGTGGATAGAATTTGTTTTCACAGAAGTGGAAAACTGATTGGCCTGGTTGTTTGATTTTGTCGCCCTATCGAAAAATAATACTTATTAGTGTGATCTCGAGCTGATAACGGTACGGTACTTGCCAGTTCATCGTAAATCTTCTTTGCGGTTTCAGGATTTTCATGGAACAAATTGTTGGCAGTTTCCCTGTACTGCATCTTTATTGTTAGGTAAACCGCAGTCACAGCCTTGCAAGTATTCTCCGCTTTCGGCAATTTGCTCACTGCATCTGCATAGGCAGCCGCTTGCTCCTTTGATGCCAAATCGGGGTACTTCTCCTGTTGCTTCCTGATCAATTCACCCTAGCAAGTTGGAGACAGATATATTTTGTTAATTCATAATTTTAACTGGGAAAATACCGTAAACTTCTTGGACCTCGGATTGTACAATCCCGACTTAATAAGAAGACACTTATATAGACATTCTTTATGTCCAGGATTGTTCTCCATACATCGAGTAATTATGAATGATGCTTCTTCCGGGTCCAATGCCTCCAACGATAACACCTGTTCAACAAGCAAATATTAATCGGAATGCAAGTAATAAGGGCGATCAGAATCTGTTTGAAATTACCACACTTAACCAGCTCAAAAGAGCAACTACTTCAAGGTACTTTGCAATAATCATGTTTGATTCTTATGATGAACTTAACTTTGTACTCTCACGATTCCTGCTATTTATTCTGATTGTTAATGGCACCAGTCAGTATGTACATTCTTAGTACAGGTGTTGGATGGTTGTGATTTCTATGCAATTATTTGACATGTACTGCTTCACTCAAATTCTTGTTCTTTGGTACTCATTAATAGTAAACAATTCACCTGGATCTATAGAAAATCTTGGCCGTGATTCGCATTATTTAGACCATTGTGGCATGGCTAGAATCCACCACGCAGCTGAAGTGAATGATCAAAAGAACAAGAATTTGAGTAAAGCAGCTTTTATTTTTCATATACACTGGAACAAATTTACACCTGATTGTTGATGATTTTTTTTTGAAAAACATTAGTTTATTAAACGGTGCAATGATTTATCATATTGGTAGGATTGAATCAATTAGGCTTTTCTCAAATGTATTGAGTGAAATAACTAGCATTTTGTTTGAAATTATTCTCATATCATTGAAAGTTTGTTATTAAAATATCGATTTTCTATTAGATTATTTTCGAGACGATGCAACTTATTGCAAATTTTTGACACATATTTTGTAAGATAATAGGCAACAAAAGTTGTTTTTATAACCCACAGAAGTAAAGCCGTTGGTCTCCGGTTCATGCATTGATGGGTCGATAGGTAGGTTCCAGGTGTGGGAGCTGCCTCCCTGGCGTTGGTGGCATCGGTGCTCAGCACGGAAAACAAATCATGGAAAAAATAAAAAAAATAACCGACAGTAATGAAGATTACCGTTATACTATATTTTGTCTATTTCGGACTTTGAGTTCAAATTTATCATTCCTGTAGTTTCAGACAGCTTGATACGTGAACTTAAAAATAGTATATAATAATCACAAAAACACAATTTTTCGTCGTTTCATATATTAACTTTTTTAATCAGCTTCTAATTTGCACTCCTGAAATGGTCAATTTTGAAGAATTATTTAATTATGATACTACTTTCTGTAACTTTTTTATTCATGGAGGATCATGGATATGTAGACAATGGACTATTTAAACACATTCAAAAGCATATTAAAATTGTACATTGCATTTTGGAAATTTTTGGCCACCCCTTTATAAGAAGCCTTTCTTATGTGCATGCTGACAATGGGAACCCAATGCGTACTGCGTACTTGGTTCTGGCTGTTACAGATTTTTATTGGCTAACAAACCATTGAACCACTCTAGTATAGGGGGAAGTCCTCTATAATCGGACGACCTCCATGTCCGTCACTAGTGATTTTATCATAAACAAAGAGTGATAATAAGATTTAGACATGGAACAATAGTGATTTGTTAGTTTTTACTGTGTACAAATTATGAGGTCACCGTCAGCAAAGGTAAAAAAAAATGAGAGCTGTCAAAAGTAATAGCTTGTAAAGAAAAAAAGAAACGAGACAATTTCACGGAAGTGTACTCGCAAATATATCCTAAATTCAAAGATGTACTTTTTCTGTATGTCAGCTTTGGTAAATTTTCTTTTGACTGTAATGCAAATGTATGAAAATGTAGTATTCTGAAAAAAAAAACTAATGACGTCGAGTAGTTGAAATGAAACGCAAAAAAAAAACAAAATTCGTGGTCTCTGGAAGACTTAAGATCTTCTCTCAACAGAATAACTTCAAAGCAAATGAGTAAACGAGAGGCCGCCGTAAAATATGGCATACCTAAAAGCTGCCTCAGAGCCGGTAAGGATATTGTTCTGGATCATAAAGCCGGTGGATTTAAGAAGACGTTTTCAATTGAATACGAAGAGCAGCTTGCGGATCACGTCACGAATTTGCCGAATAGATGTATGCCGCTTACCAAGAAGGAGTTTTTGAAACTGGCCTTTGATCCCGCGGAAGATTTTATTTTCCTTTATTATAGAGATTTTTAGCCATTGGCTAGTTCATCTCTTATCTCGCGGAAGAGCTGAAGGTCCCTAATCGCTTTAACACCGAAAAAGCCTAATAAGAGCTGTTGGGTTCAACCGTCCTCAGGTCCAGTTATTTTACTCAAATCTTGAAAATCTTATGTCCAGAATCTTCAATTGCGACGAATGTGTGCCGTAGCATGAGAAGGTTTTAGCTCGCAAAGCCGTTCCTCAAGTTGGTAAATTGGCATCTGCGGAATGTGGAAGAAATACTATATTACTACCTTTCAAAGGCATAATATGAATGCTAGGCTTATGATTAACGCCCCCGCAGAAAGCAAAGGAGTTGGTCAGCTAAAAGGTTGGATGAATGGGAATTTGTTTTTGCAATGGTTGGAACAATTTGTAAATTTTTCGCATACTTCAAAACAAACACCTGTTCTACTAATCCTTGGTGGTCACAGCAGCCATAAGACGTTAGAAGTGATTAACTTTTGCAGGGAACATTTTTGAGAATGGGTCACAAGCTTCAACCACTCGACCGGACTTTCATAAAAACGGTTCAAGAATACTTACCATGAACGCTGTGGTGTGACAGATCAAATGACATGAGGATTCAAAAACCAGTTCAATGGTATTCATTTTAAGTGGCCAAGTATGGGTACATGCTTGGTAACATCCAGCCTTGTTTTGGGTACCTCCGAGGAAATGGCTAGATTATGGCTAGGGTCAAATTCATCATGCGATACTTCAAATCGCATGATAATTCATCCATTACCCCACATCATATGACGACTTTTGTCGGAATTTATTTTTTGTTAGAAGGTTCAAGTATAATTATAATATATAAGCATAGGAGGGTTAATTCAGGTTTTCTAATAACATTTCGCAATTTCAAGAGCACACATCCAAAGTTTTACCAAACTCGGAAACTATTTGCATTATCGTGTATTTCAGTCGTTCGTTACATACCAAGCGAAAACGTAGTCATGTCGCGAAGCGTTATGGTTCTGAGATGACCCTGGAGGAATCGTTTTTTCTTACTGAGCAGAAAATCATGGGTTTTATCTCAAGCTCTCCGTTATGACTCTTAAAATGTATAATCACTGTCGGCACTTTCGATAGTCGGCTATCGAGAGCTTAAATTTCCTTCCCTATCCCTAGTTATGCTGAAGATGGGCGTGACCAGGAATAGTGACAGTGAATCTGGAATTCTTGTTTAGATTGGAATCAATGTTTACTCCCCAGCATTATTCTTGAAAGTAGTTTGACTGAGAATTTCAAAAGAATCGTGAGTTTCGCCATTATCCAATCTACGAAGTCATAACAACGCTAACGCTACATAAAGGGTGATACGGTCAAAATTTGGTCAATATCAACTTGACGTATTTCTTTCAATTTTGCATTTAAAAAACCTGAAAACCCCTCATTTTGAAGGTGTGTGTGTGTAGAATGTTGCTCCTATTTTGATTTTGGAATTCACTCTTCAGTTGTCAAAATGCCGTCCAAGCAAGAAGAGCAGCGTATCAAAATTTTGCTCGCGCATCGCGAAAATCCGAGCTACTCGCACGCAAAGTTGGCAAAATCGCTAAAAGTTGCCAAATCAACCGTTACAAATGTAATTAAAGTGTTTGGGGAACGTTTGTCGACAGCCAGGAAGTCTGGATCGGGGGGAAATCGAAAACCGGAAGCCGCTGAGACGACAAAGAGAGTTGCCGGTAGTTTCAAGCGAAACCCTAACCTCTCTCTCCGAGATGCCGCAAATAAGCTGGGTGTATCGTCTACAACCGTGCATCGAGCCAAAAAACGAGCCGGACTATCGACTTACAAGAAGGTAGTGACTCCAAATCGCAATGATAAACAAAATACGACGGCCAAAGCGCAATCCCGGAGGCTGTACACGACGATGCTGACGAAGTTTGACTGCGTGGTAATGGACGACGAAACCTACGTCAAAGCCGACTACAAGCAGCTTCCGGGACAGGAGTTTTATACGGCAAAAGGCAGGGGAAAGGTAGCAGATGTTTTCAAGCACATGAAACTGTCAAAGTTCGCAAAGAAATATCTGGTTTGGCAAGCCATCTGTACCTGTGGCTTGAAAAGCAGCATTTTTATAGCTTCCGGGACTGTCAACCAAGAAATTTACGTGAAAGAGTGTTTGAATAAACGTCTGCTGCCTTTCCTGAAGAAACACGGTTGTTCCGTACTGTTTTGGCCGGATTTGGCATCTTGCCATTACGGTAAAAAGGCCATGGAGTGGTACGCCGCCAACAACGTGCAGGTGGTTCCCAAGGACAAGAACCCTCCCAACACGCCAGAGCTCCGCCCAATTGAGAAATACTGGGCTATTGTCAAGCGGAACCTAAAGAAGACCAAAAAAACTGCTAAGGGCGAGCAGCAGTTCAAGGCAAACTGGCTTTCTGCGGCGAAGAAGGTGGACAAGGTGGCTGTACAAAATCTGTTGGCAGGGGTCAAGCGTAAGGCCCGGCAATTCGGATTTGGAAAAGCGGAAGCCTAACTGAATATTTTTCCTGAATTTTATACTAATTGAACTTGAAAAAGAAATTTAATTTGATTTTTTAAATAAACGATTTCACCGATTTACACGCGTTTTCCCTTGACCAAATTTTGACCGTATCACCCTTTAAGACGCTAACAAGCTATAAGCTATATCTTAAAATTCTCACCATCTACGAAGTCATGACATCAACGTGAAGTTCACACGTAGACTAGTGCCACGTAGTGAAAGAATTCTGAACCAACTAACCCACAAATTTGAAGACATTAATCACCTGAACAACTTTTCCCACGACGGAAACATTCTAAATGGTAAAGATCTCCAGATATATTTAAACAGGAAAATGACTTGCATATTAGTGTCGCATAGTGAGAAAATTCTGCACTACAATTGTCTATCCACCTTGACCGATTTTGTGCAATTTTGCCGACGACAGTAGTCTTTTATATGGTCAGGATCATGATATATTCCATGTCAACCTTACCCCGCATGATTTTTCTTTCATTATTTAATCTGCTTTTGATTCGTGATAAAACATCATCAAATGAAAGGGAAATATTCCAAAAATCGATGTAATTAGATTTTTTTTAAAGCTTTATTAAAGAGATTTTTAGCCTTATTTAGGCGGATGTAATTAGGGAAAGCACTCTAAAGATCAATAAACTAAATTTACCGCAGAAATTTTATACAGGTTTGGTTAAATTCAACAGTATAGCCGTCTTACCCCGTCGTCCCCTAATGCGAAAATGGACGCTAAATGGAATCATTTTTAACACACTCGGCTTCGCTTTACACTTAACATTTATAAAAAGATCTAGATTCTAGAAACTATTTGAACCTTCCCATGCAACACACATGTTGTATAACAGTTTTTATGATCTTTGTTTGACTGGTTTTGGTCGTATAGCAGCTTATTCAACATAATCCTATAAATTTGTGTTACTTGGACTGTCACATTAAACAAGGATAGGTATGGCTTGATTGATATTTAGGATTGGTGGAGTAATGGTGTTCCTGTTTGGATGATCTGCAAAAATATTTGCTTTAAGTCGCATTGATTAACTCTGATGTCGATATCAAAGCCGCCGGACATTCTTGATCGGGATTTAATCCGAGGACCGAGGACCGGGTGGAGCCTACCACCATTAGTGTTATCGAAAAATGTATAGCAAATGATATTTGAAGCAGTGGCGCTGGTGGTGTAGTGGTAAGTGTAACTGCCTCTTACTCCAAAGGACCTGGTTCAATTACCTTCGGAAGGGAAGTAAAGCCGTTTGTCTAGATGTGGGTGCTGCCTTCCTGGCGTCGGTAGCATTGGTACTCAGTACGGAAAACAAGATCGAAGGAAATCAAATCAAGGTACCTATAAAAAATATTTCAAGCAACTTTGCTGAAAACACCAAATTCCTAGCTCATATACTTTACGAGATGTATAGCGTTATAGAGGTTTTAAAGATTTTATAGAGGTTTTAAAGCATTATACAAGTCTCTTATAAAACCTAAATTGTAACTTGGGTTGATTGTTAAAGTCAAGCTAGATTTTTGATATTATTCGCACCTTCAATATATGTATTTGTGATACAAAAATACATACATTTGCTGAACGCTGCAACATGCTATTGCTTTAGAAAAAGTTAAATCTCATATAGACAAAAGTTTATATAATTTTTGGGCAGCAACACAATTATAGTTTCAGAAGCCTGTGCCATTTTGCACCGGAAGAAGTTATTCTTATTTTAGGATAACATTTTATTTCAAGAAATAGCTCGTTAAAATTTTTATAAAAACAAGTTTTTTAACTTACAAAATATGTTTGTGGAAATCTTGTTAAAAAGTTGTTCTAAAAATTAGAAAAAAACGACCAAAACTTTTATTCTAAGTTGTGCTACGATTTTGATCCATGCTGAAGTGCCCGAAAATACGTGATTTTAAAAACAGTGTGTATATTTTTTTCTGAAAAGGCAATCCAGTTTCCTTCCACTTTGTCTCTAACGTCCTTTTGTTTAGAAGAGCTTTTTTCGTACTATGATTTATTAAAACATATCTAATATTCCATTTTGAAAAAAATAACCGAAATTTTTAGAACTGTGAGAAATCAAATCTAATATTTGTTTATTTTTTTGCTATCTGGGCTGCTCTGCTTTTAAAATTGATTGAACGTGGTGGGTTATTTGTAAAATCTTCTTAGATTTCAGCCTTTTTGATGTATAGAAAGCCAATAATAATAGCTGAAAATGCACATGAATCCTGATGAATGTAAGTGTAAAAAGTTAAATTATTGTCTAAAAATTGATATTCAATGAATAAAAGTTAACAAATGCCACGTCAAATTAAATTTTCGTCATGAAAATATAATGAATCTATGTTTAAATCAGTGAATTATCCATACATTCATCATTTGATGTTACGCCTTGGGACACTGCATGGCATCAAGTTTCTTCACTTGGGCAGCAACCGCAGTTTTGTCGTACTTGCGAACCTTTGGAATGTTGTATCTATAATCCATGGATCGGACTTCCCTGTAGTCCACGGCTTCCTTGTAGTCTTCGACAACCTCGGAGTCCATCAAACATTTATAGTAATGACGAGCCAGTGGCAACGGATCCTTTGGCTCCGAAGATTTACACTTCGCCAACACCTTGTCCAATCGTCCTGTATCTTTCCCGGCTAACTTAAAGTCCCGTTTGAGTTCCGACGGCTTGAAAAAAAAAGCGACTATATTAAAAATCTTCCTTTGTCGCTGTCAACAAAATAAGTACATCAAACTTATCATCCTTGGTGATGTAACGCAATCCTTTGTAGACGCATTGAACGCGCTTCTTGTAGATTTCGTTGTCCAACACCTTGAACTGACGCATTTCACATATCTCCTTCCGGTTGGGGGAACCAGGTGGATAGAATTTGTTTTCACAGAAGTGGAAAATTGATTGGCCTGGTTGTTTGATTTCAGCACCCTATCGAAAAATAATTCTTATTGATATGATCTCAAGATAGTAACGGTATGGTGCTTGCCAGTTCATCGTAAATCTTTTTTGATTTTTCTAAATTTTCATGGAACAAGTTTAGAGAAGTTATTTTGTACTGTTTAAGTATCGTTGAGAAAACTCCATAAACTGCCTTACAAGTGTTCTCCGCTGTCGGCAATTTGTTCACTGCATCTGCGTAGGCATCCGCTTCCTCCTTTGGCACCAAATCAGGGTACTTTTCCTGTTGCTTCGTGATCAATTCAGCCTGTCAAGTTGAGAAGCAATTCGGGTTAACCACGTTTTAGGCTGTTTTTTAAAGTGGGTTTTCCCCTAAAGTTGCATTAGGTGCGTTTCATTTTTAACGATATGTCAAAATTTGTACAACTTAAGACGTAATTAAAATCACATTTTTAGTCTTGGGTGGAAATCCAGAATTTAAAATTAATTTAAAATAGCATACTGAGATTTCATATATGCTTTCCAAACATTTAAAAAAAAAATAAGCCTGTGAATTCATCAATCTTAGATGTTCGCTTTATACGCGGCTCATATCCCACATTTTTTATTACTATGGTCGCTTTAATACTTGTCCGGGTTAGCAATACTCTCACGCCAAAGTCACGAGTTCATGGAAGTTAAACACTCCGCTGGAGTCAACACCCCCCCCCCCCCATATATCCCCCTTGTAAAAAACGACTCAAGGTGTATTTTGATAATGACAAATTTTAACAGCAGAAATACCTCAAACTTTTTGGTCCCCGGATTGTACAAACCCAATTTTTCAAGTATACACTTGATTAAACAATCCTTTTTTCCAGCATAGTCCTCCAGGCATCGAGTGTTTATGAATAATGCTTCTTCTGGGTCCAATGCCTCCAACGAGACAACCTATTCATCAAGCAAATTTTTTTATCGGATGGCATGTAATAAGGGCGAATCTATTTCAAATTACCACACTTAACCAGCTGAAAATAGCAACTACTTCAAGACACTTTGCAATAATCATGTTTTGTTCTTACGATGAACCTAACTACGTACTCCCTTGATTCTTGATATTTAAACTGATTGTTGATGGTGCCAATCATAATGTACAAACTTAGTACAAGTGTTGGTTGTGATATCCATGCAATTATTTGATCTCTATTTGATTATTCAGTACAGTACAGCTGCGAGGCAGTTTCTTGCCATGCAATTGGCATATCCAATGGGTGCACAATGGGAAACTTATCATCTCATTTTGGGAAATTTTGTAAATATTCTAAAGGGGCTACTGGTGGCAGAAAAACTAGCTGACTCGGAAAACGACGTTCTGTCTAGTTGATTGAAATAAACACATCGGGGCCCAAACGACCAACACAAAAAAGATTCTAGCAAATTCGTCAATTCGTTCTCGAGTTATACTATGACATACGATCCTCATTTCATTTTTATTTATAGAGGTTAGCCTGAAAGCCTCCTTAATAAAGAAACAACAACAACGACTATTTAAAGAGATGAAGCACATTGCTGTCCCAAAAAAAATGAAAGAATGAATAAGTTAAAATAATTTGGACAGGTATTCCAAGAAAATTCTACCAAGAATCCAATTGCATGCTGAAATTACAACCGTCTGATATCCCAGCTACCCACTGTTACATCAAATGCATGCTGGAGAAGATTGGCTTCCTCGAGCCCGGGGGATAATAGATTCAAGGTATAATTGTACCTCAAATGACCTTCTGATCAAAGCGATGATATCGATTTAATCTAAATGGTGTTAGAGTGGTTCAACAATGGAAGACAAACCATGAATACTTATCCGCTGACCGGGGGAAGGTGCTCAAAGTGTTTAATGCGTACAAAGATGTCCACACGGGGTACCTCGATACACTCAAAGCCACCCTTTTTGACGATGGACCGTCCACTGAGAAGTTCTACAAAGATAAGGTTCGATTGAAGCTTTCGCTTTAATGTCGCTTTAATGTGAACATCTCAGGGTAACCAAATCAAACAGTTTGTGTTCTGTGAGAATGTAAACTATCCGGCTGGTAGTGCCAAACGAAACCAAAAACTATGCAATACCAGGAAGTACGAACTGGGAAATGGTGAAGAGTTTAGTAATCACATGGCATGTATTTTCAAAGGACTGCGATATTTGACCAAGAAGAATGAGCTAGATATAGGTGATAAACTTCCTTTCATCAGGTTAATCTGAAATCTACCCATCTCTCAGGTTAACGACACCGTTAGAGATTTCCTGCTGGTGGGTAAGAAACCGGATGCCATGAACGCCACTCTACAAAGTACAAAGGTAGCCTGATGCAAACCGATACGTGGCCATGGCAAAACACTACTGCAAATGTCTGCTGGATGATCCAAAAGTGGTGGGTGATTACAATGAAGCATTTGATTATCGCGAAATTAGCTTCCAGAACTACATGTACCGACATAGCAGCAGTAAGAAAACCTATGAGAAAGGTGTCGTTAGAAAGATGGTGGACAAAATTGATGAGAAGCAGTGTTCATAGGTCGAACACTGGATACCTGCCACTCAGTATTATGGTTGGGAATCAGTGCAGGTTTAAAATCATTGAAAAGATGAATGTGAACTCTATTTTTATAACATACAAAAAAAAAACAATGATTTTGTATTGTGATATCGAAACTCATTAATCGAATTAATATTCCGATCGGCATTCCACCCAGTAACCAATCAATCTTCCTCATGACTCGACAATATTCGGCGTTCTTGCATCGCGTAAAATATCGGAAACACCTATTGCCAACTTGCATATTATATTGGATGTCTGAAAACAACGCCCAAGTGATGCAATATGTCAGCAACAGACTGCTGAAGCAGCAGTAATATTTCGGAAAGTCATCCTCGACGTGTGGCAAATTATAATGTTACTACTCGGAGGTGCGTCCCCGGCAATGGTGCAGACAAGGAAGCTCTGCTCCGGTGGTTTCAAGTGGCGCCAATTTATCTGCGGGACGTCCCAGAATATTACTCCGTGGGCAGCAAATGTGCAGAAGGAGGGAGTTAGGGAAAAACTCCTAACAGTTTTGTAAAACAAATCCTAATTTGAGGTAAACAGAGCCTTAAATGGAGGTGAGATTAGATGAGATAAGTTTCTGTTCGTTTCTTTGTTTGTTCCACCTTAGCACCTTATTAATTATTTCGATCCTTTCTTTTCGGTAAGAGATTCGTGCTGGTGTAAGTGGAATTTGGCTTGCTCGCAGGTAGGCACAACCTAGGAGGAGACAACTGGGGTATAGACTTTGATCAATCTTTTTATCCAGTCGCTAATTGGTTGAATTTCGAGTTTATGATTGTTTTTTTTTTAAATATGTACAAAACTACTATCAGAACCAGTGCTGAGATTTGTCATTGTCATTGACAGACTTTCGCGTGATATTGACAAAATTGTTTTTCACATAGTCACTAATATACTTGATCCTCAAAACAGCCTTCGTCAAAATCTCATTATTTTTTTTAGTCAATGACAAAGATTCATCTCGTAACAAAAAGTGTAATTTTGTGCACTCTGTGACACATTATTGTTATCCGAGCAGGTCAGGATCAAAATAAGTGTTCACTTTAATGGCAACATGTCTAAATAGAGCTGGAATTAGGGCGAAACCGCTTTTGTAAACAATGACTTCTCTCGATGTTTTCTAGGAATTCAAGGCACGTCCACGCAAATCAGCATAAGCATCGGGTAGGGGAAGTCTTCTTCTATCCCATGATGAAGTTAATTTGCGTGGGCGAGCCTTAACTTTCTAGAAATCACTGAGAGAAGTCATTGTTTACAAAACCTGTTACGCCCTAATTCTAGCTCTATCTAGAATAATTGTTCTGCTCAAGTCATTTAATTTCGTTACAAATTAAGCTAATAAAAAATCTGCACATATTCTTCACTGACACCATTGTCACTGACAATTGGCATCGTTTGCTTTGACAATGACTGTTAGCTCAAATGAGTGACGAAAGCAGAATTTTGAATATCGCCGTGTATTGTCGAGATTTTGAAGCACTCTGTTACAAACAGGAGAGTATAGAAGCGAATGAAGCACCTGCAAAGAAGAATAAAAAGAAGCTAAATGCCCTGTCTTGTCTTAGGGCACAACGTTCGAGATGAGACTGCAATGTTAGCACTGCAAGGTGTGGATCACCGCTGCGCAGGAGTCTGCCCTGTCGGGACAGGATATTTTGATTTCAGATTAGAATGTCATTATCACTAAACTGTGATCTTTGTGGCAAGAATTGCACGTGCTTTGATTGTATCTTATGATGACGACGTGCAAAAAAAAATCGTTGGTCTCCCAAGGAATACCAGGAATCTTAATCAAACATGGTAAGGTGATAACAAAGTCGCTTCCTTCCACGTATTCGAAACGACCTGTGGGTTTCCCTTGTGTAATGATTCGAAACCACACGCATCTGGTAGTTTATGCTGCATGGAACCCTTCGAGCCAATGCGCAAAAGACGCAAGGTGGTTAAATAGAAGCGTTTTTATGCTGGGAAGAATTGAGCTGTTTGATAACAAGAATGTCTTGTGTTGGTGACGTCTAGTGGTAGAGCTAAAGGATCTCCGTTTCCCCCTTTAAAACGATTTATATTCTTCACCGGCGATAGGTAAACACAATTGTGTAAACATTACCGTTCCAGAAACTCGTCAGCCAATGGAATATCTGTTTGTGTGGTGATAAATGTATTCAAATCAAGTAGGGTGAGGGAGCTTTGTGGCGGATGAGCTAATGTGTTTGGTAACCTGATGCAATCGATGCGGTTATGATGGCAAATGGCGATGCTAAAATAACTCAAGTGAGTCAGTTGAAGTTGGTGGGAAAGTCCTTGCGATGCGTTCGTATTTCTATTTTTATGATGACTGTTTATTTATTTCGTCAAGCAAAAGTAGACTACAATGGTTAGAGGGTGATTCAGAATAACTGTCACCATCTTGATAAATATGCAATTCTCAATGGGCAAAATGGGTATTTGTGCAAGTATTTTTGTTTTAAGGTGTGTATAAATATCAGCTTGTATCGATAGTACACACTTCGAAAAAATCATGTAAATTTAGGTGCTCTGAAAGTGACATATACGAGCGTCAATTTTGACATAAATTTGAGTCATAACAGACGCGAAACATAGCTCAATCAAACGTACTTTTCGTCAAGCAACGAAATGTTCAGTCTCGGAGCACTTAATATTACATGACAAGTTTGTTTACGTCTCATCTTTTATGTCAAAGGCAAGATTCCGTCACGTGTAAAATTAGTTATTTCTAAGCGTGTATGATTTGAAATTTCATTTTCGATTTCAAGCAGCCATGGACGATAAAATGGAGCATGGCATAAATTTGTATAAAATCGTGTGTTATCTTTTAGAAACTGAAATTTCATTTATTTTTCGCATCATTATAGAGGTACAAAGGAACCATGCTTGAAACTCCATTCAATATCAGAGCTTAGATGCATTGCCAGGACTCAAAAAGAGCTTAAGATAAAGCGTGCGTGCCAGCTGCGTTTAATTTTCGTGATAAATGTGGCTGGTAATTAAGGTAAAGAGAGAGAGAGAGATTTGAATTTAAGTATGTTAAGTGGAAGATTGTATAGGGGAAATGGATGTACTGTTAGCCTCAATGCCCCTAATTTGGGCCCATACCTAAATTCAGCAATCGACTAAAGTTTTAATAGCATCCAAAAATATCCATTAGTACCGTCTCAATGACGCGTTCATCTAGATAAAACTGATAAATAGCAGATTTTTAGCGATGGGCTCAATCTTAGATTTATAGGCCAACATTAGAGCCATTTCCCCTATGTAGTATATCTTCAATATCAAAAATTCATGCAAGCGTTCTATCGATATGACCATTTTTAAAAGTGATAGTTGATAGTGCTATGACATATGGTTGTCTTAAGTAATTAAAAAGGTATAATTAAAACAAAAAGCAGGGCATGTTCTAGTTCAGGACAGTCTTCTGATAAAATCAGTTAAAGGCACATTCAAGTCAAAC